CGAAGAAAAATGTATTCTTCTATTCTTCAGGACATTTTTTTCAGTCTACAACGGAAGTAAAAAATAAAATAAAATAAAATAAAATCAAAGCACCAAATTTCGTTTCAAGACTAATATATTGCATTTGGTGGTGCACATTTTTTTGACATTTTGAACCAACTTTAGCATCGTTGCATGTTTCCTTGTCCTCCTATTGGTCAATCGTGTATGCCTATTTATATTAGTTTTTAATTTTTCCATTAACAAAATAAAATACTAGTAGTTTATATCACATATTCTTGTATGTAACAGACTAACTATTAGGTGCATCGACCCATCATACATTTTTAACACAAATATATACGTAATGTCACAATTTTTTTTTATATTGATGTTTTTATTTGTATTGTTTTTTAAAATATGACATTTCAATTTCAAATTATGCATATTTGTTAAAATATTATGGTTGTCTAACGCAACCATAATTATTTTATGCAATTAATAAAATATAAGTGCCCGTATATATTATTTTATTAACGCAACCACTTATTATATAATATAAGTGCCCGTATATATTGACTACTTCATTTATCAATAATTATTTTATGCAATTAATAACTATACTTATTTTAACAGCCAAATAATCAAATTCTATTCCTTAATTAATCATGTAGATAGGCTTTATATAATGGAGTTTTCTCGATCCAAGCCCAAAGGTGGTTTAAATATCAATTCGGGCCTTGAAAGATTATTTTTATCAATTCGGGGCCTGAATGTCTTAAAACTATCAATTCGGGGCTCCAATATTTGACATCGTTAGATAGCTGTTCTGAATAATATGATGTGGCTATTAAATTAACAAAACAGGCCACGTCAACTAAAAAAATAAAAAAAAAATGGCTAAAATCTGATACAAGAATCAAAATGAGATTATACATTAGCGGCACCAAAATCTAACCATGGGATACCTCGATAATTTATTGATCAAAGTTAACTATCTCGCGGGTGCCTTCGACATTATTTTTTCTCCATTTGCAAGTATAAAGGTTGGCCTGTTTTTGTGTTAATTTAATAGCCACATCATATTATTCAGAACGGCTATCTAACGGTGTCAAATATTAGAGTCCCAAATTGATAGTTTTAAGATATTCAGGCCCCGAATCGATAAAAATAATCTTTCAAGGCCCGAATTGATATTTAAACCATCTTTCAGGACTTGGATCGAGAAAACTCCTTATATAATATCGTATCATGTGGGATATGATATGTATGGAAATGAAGCAAGCACTTGACTCAACACACTTACAAACAGTTCATCTCGTAAAGATACATTCAAAATGAAACAAGTGTTGTGAGCGTGTGCTTTTAAAGACTTTGACTAAAGCCAAAAATCACTTGTATATACACAACAATCAAGAGTTCAGGTCTGTGAACTTAAAAGTGCCCAGAAAATGATTAAATCTTGAATCAGACGTGATAAGAACACGTTAACTAATTCCGAGATGATGGAGGGAAATCGTCGATTGGAAAATGATGCAGAAGAGAATATTGTTGCGCCCGGTTTTCGATTTCATCCAACTGATGAAGAGCTGTTGGGATTTTATCTGCTGAGGAAGGTGCAGGGAAAATCCATCTGCTTAGAGCTCATCAAGCAGGTCGAAATCTACAAATATGATCCATGGGATCTCCCAAGTAAGTATATATACATATATTTCTCTATGTACTTTATAATTATTCTATGGAGACATGAATTTCACTTCACCTGCTCGTGATTCATCGTTAGGAGTTGAACTAAAACAAATTGGCCTAACAATAGTTAGTTCATTTTTCTTGAAACTTATATAGAAATGGGATGTTGCACCGGAGAAAAGGAATGGTATTTTTTCTGCATGAGAGGGAGAAAATACCGAAACAGCGCAAGGCCGAACAGAGTAACCCTCACAGGGAATGGGTTTTGGAAGGCAACCGGCATTGACAAGCCTATTTACTCATCAAAAACCGGCGAGAAGAACAAATGCATCGGCCTCAAGAAATCGCTGGTATATTACATAGGAAATGCCGGCAAAGGAACAAAAACAGAATGGATGATGCACGAGTATAGATTCCCGCCGAGTGATGGTTCGGGTTCTGAAAGCAGTATCAGCAGTCAAGAAGCAGTGAGTTCTTGCTAATACCCATATATGCATATTTGCTGAATAGTCTTTTTGCTTCTTTTGTTTCTTATGTTCTTCTGTTAGGTTGTCTAATGGTTAGGCATCGTATTCTTCCAACAAATATACATATTTTCGTATGCAATTGTCATACTTTAAAATAAAAAAGTATTCCTGCATAACTATTAGGCAACCTAACAGTCTGCATTTGTACTCTTCAGAGTATACTTAAATTATGTTGCATAGTAATGTTGGTTTAGTTATTTAGTTCTTGTTTTCAGAGTTTATCCTCCAAAACTGTTGTGTTGAACTTTTAAGATATATACTGGAAGTTATATGATATATACAGATTCTTGTATAAAATTATATATTGTGTTTGAACTTGGTTATTTCTCTGTCATCTTCTGTTGTGTTATTTTGACCATTTAGACAAGGAAATTTGAGGACTTTCAAGAAAAGGAGTTCCAAATTGAGAAAGTGGGGTTCTAAATAAGATATTTGCATAACTTGTTACTACCATTTTACAAAGATTTTAGTCAACACCAACTCTTGCTCTTTTTATAAATATTTCTTGACCAACTTTGTGCAGGAAATTTGGACACTCTGCAGAATTTTCAAAAGGGATTCACCATGCAAGAAGTCTACACCACCAGTCAGCAGAAACACTACAAACTCAAGTACACCCACCTTGCAAGAAATAGCATGCCAATTTTTCGATAATATCCCAGACGAGATATGGACCGTTGGATCTCCAACTGCATCACCAGGCCTGGATCTTTGGGCCAGAAACGATAATGAAACAACTAGAAATGGAAACTGGGATGAGCTTGGACCAGTTGTTAGATTTCATGGAGTGTAATAGTAGTTAGTAACTAGTGTGTATACCCGTGCAACGCAACACAACGCATCGCATTATACCCATTCGATGCCCAGAGTAAAACCAATAAATAAACAGAATAAAACAGTGTTTAATATTATTTTTTATTTTAATTTTTTAATTGATTAGATGTACTACTTTAAAACTACTTGCATCTAAATTAAATCAAGGAACAGTTGCGCACACCACAAGTATCGACAGAAGATTAAGCCAGGACTCCCTACAACTCAAAATATTCACCATTCAGTCTCATGCAAATATAACAAAGCATGCCATACATAAAAACATCTATCGACAAAAACAAGAAAAAATCGCAAATGTGTGAGTGAACACATGTATATATGTAAGTAAAATATTGAAAATCGAACTATACCTAAGGTTGATCAGAAGATCCACGGTGGTCCTGATGGCCGTTGATTGGGAAGTTGACCACAGAGATGTCGACACTCATTCTATCCGCATCGGGCCCCACCTCCCGAACATCGGCTATCCGGGCCTCGGTCGTGGCCCTAGAGATGCTCGTGCATGCTTTATCCACGTTTTCTTGAGATGGGTCCATGTGCTTTGTTAGTGTTAAATCGCCATCCACGCCAGGACAAGGCTTGGTTTTCTCGGTATAAACTTGCATGGTCTCAACTTGCTGCCTATATCACATGGGGAATTGGAAGTTCGGTAATATATTAATTGTTTAAATTAAGAAAGTCAATTGTACGACTAATAGAGCTCGACAAACAGCATCTTTTTACACCAAGCGTGTGCCAACAAGATATGTCTAGTGAGCACAACTGCTTTTGTATTTTGCCTAATTGGAATTTTAACTCATTTATCAAAGATTGAAACAACGGTTTAATTCATTTATTAAAACCGGCACTATAGTTAGCAGTCTGAGATACGACTAGCAAAACTTATTCATGCAAGCAATAGAACTAAAAGTATAATAGTTTCGATTATTGATTTCATAAAGAAAAAAAAAAAAAAAAAAAAAAANNAAAGGAATGGAGGAAGAAGAATCTTGTATTACTGTTTGAGTTGCTCTTGCAACAACTTTACATTTGCATGCAGTTCCTGTTTTTCCTTGGCAGCAGCAGATTCTTTCTCTATGGCTTCCTTTATTCTAGCTTCGGCATCAACCTCCGTAACCCGGACCTTCTCTTCAGCTCGGACGACAGCTCCTTCCAATATCACTGCACGTTCTCTAGCTTTTGCAAGCTCCGAACGCCGTAAATGAGCCTCTTGAAGAGCTGAGTCCCTTTGTTTTATCAAAATGTCTTTCTATGCTAAGATTCAGGACTTTCTCTTCCAATTCTCTTATCTATATGAAATAAGATACGGTGCTAAACAAATTGAACAAATAGCAACTGATAACAGACCTTACAGTGAAACTTCAGCATCAAATTTCATAAAAAAATCTCTGAGGATTTTGTAAAATGGAAAATCTATTAATATATAATAAGGATTAACATAATTCACTTTTAGAAAGTCTTTCCCGCCAAAAACATTAATTACACACTAAATATGATAATTTTAGAATCTATTTTAAATAAAAAAATATTAATTACATTTATTATAGTTTCCTATTAGAATGGAAACCAGATTGTATTTAAATATTGCGTTAGATATATTCTGTTATAGCATATTTGTTAGCGGATTTAATGGTGCATGCAATATTCTGTTAGCATATTTATAGCTAATTATTTTATACATACCAATTTATTTACACTCAAATTATTTTAATTTATCATGATCCACTTTTTATGGTAGATGTTGGATATTTTATCTTCATATCAACATATTTACAAAAATCAGTGATATTGTCAAATCATTTTTATTTAGATTCTTCGATCCTTTGTTGTTGTATACGTTTTCAATTAATTTAAAATCAAGCCTTTTCATTAAATCTCGGTTTTTATGAAAATGATTTTCTCAATTAATATTTTTTATATCTATCAGATTTTATAAAATTACTTATTAAAAGTAAAATTCGTTTTATCATATCATTTTATAAAATCACGGTTTGTATGGAAATAATTTTGTTGAGTGTAATTTTTTCTATCTATCAGATTTTATAAATTATTGATTAAAAATTGAAATCACATTTTACAAATGGGCAAT